CCTGATATGTGTATCAAGCTACGACGACGAGGAGAAAAAAAAGATTTTCGATGGTCCCTATGGTTCTCGGCAATGCACAGTCAATTCACGAGAAGTGAAGTGGACTTACGAGGGAGAAGTAGCAGCATCACAGGTGGTGATTGATGTTAACGGCGCACAATGGTGGTGATGGTGATTGAAGTACGGCAGCCTCCTGCTGCCGGATCTTTCTTGTCTCTCCGACGATTATGAAGACAGAGGAGGGTGGAGGAGAGTTTCTTCAAGTTTACAGCAGGTGGTGGTGAGGTTTTGAAGGTGGAATAACGAGGTGGCAATGGGTGGCGGGTGGTGGCAGTGGGGTGATCGGGGGTGGTTCCGGGGGTCGTTTTGCCTCTGCTTCTTCCTCTTTTTGAGCTAACTGTCGACAGAGGGAATGCCTGGGGTGATGCATGTGTTTAATTTAGTTATAAGGGTGGTGTAAGGTGGTGGTTTTGTGGTGGTGTTAAGATGGTGTTGTGGTGGTGTTTCAATCCAAGGGAGGTATAGAGAGGTATAGAGGGGGAGAAGGATCAAGATTATAGAGATAGAGAAGAGAATGGTTGGTGTTGTGAGGATTGAGGTTCTAAGCCTCTCTATTTATATCAAGAAGGTAGTAGAGGGATTAGTGAGTGTGTCATGCCTTAATGAAGTGGTTGTACTCCTTTAGGTAATCTTGCACACAAAGGAAGGAAAGGATATGGGGGTACCCAGGTGGGCAAGTCCAAGGGAATGGATCAAAATCTGATTTTTTTTGTCTCTTGAGTCACATGTGGGCCCCATATGGAGACAGCTATAAAAACTTTTACGGTTTGTTTATGTAGTTTCAATGTCTTATAGGTGTTGTTTGTTTTTTGTCTGCAAATCTTCTTAGCCCCTTCTTTCTGCGCCGCGCAGACCACGTGCAGACATTAGCTTTCACAGACTATTTGTTTTTTTTTTGAATACTGCAGACATAAAAATGTCTGTGCGCCCTCTTCTTGGTGCAGATGTGGACCATAGTCTTCTAACATCTTCTAGCCTAAAAAAACACATATATCTTTATTTTTTTAGTTTTTTTTTAATTTATATTTATTCAAACTTTATTAATGATAAAAAATTTGAAAAAAAAAATTAAATTACTTTAAAAAAAAGGTTCGAAGACACAAACTTGACATTTTTTGACAAATTTATAAATAAAGATTTATTATAATAATGGTCGTTGAACTTGTTTGTATAAATATGAAAAAAAGTCATAATATATTCTTATATTTTTGGGTAAATTACACGGATGGTCCCTGTGGTTTAGGGTAATCTGCGTGGTTGGTCCCTAACAACTTTTTTTAACTCGGACTGTCCCTACTTTATATTTTTGTTGCACGCTTAGTCCCAATCCATTCTAAAAAGACTAATTTATCATTATCCATTTTTTTATTAATTAAATTTTTATTTATTTATTTATTTAATATCTTATTTAAATAAAAAATACATGTGGGCCCCTCCCTCCTTCCCCTTCAGCCTTCTTCTTCCCTCGACCATTCTCCCATCTCCGATTCCTTCGTCCCAACTCCGGCGATTTCATTAAATCTCCGGCATACACCAACCAATCAAACCCTCTCTTCACCAATCAAACCTTCTCTTCACCGGAGAAACGATGTTTACCTCAAAAAACAAATGGCAACGAAAATCAACAAGAATTTGGTCATCGGAGGAACGTACAATGTATAATACATCTCGTCATCGCCGTTGCTCTAGGTATTTCCGACGAACGGAAATCATAAACCAAAAACCCTATCCTCTCCCTCTCTCAACTCCGGTGAACTAACCCTAACCCTTGAAGTCGGAACATCGTCGATGCCGCTAACATCTCCGCCATCTTCACCAGCATCTTCAATTTGCTCTGCCAGAAAAAACCACACTATCTGCAACATCTTATACAGACTCTATCACATTTTTTCTTGTTTAATCCAGTTCGATTTTGATTTCTGGGTTCTGGTTTGATTTTTTTTTCTCAAGTTTGATTTTGCCTTCATTTGATGTTCGTCTGATTCTGCATCAGTTTGATTTGGTGTTTCTTCTGATTTTGGTTTGGGGATTCATTTATGGAGGGGGAGCCACCACCACCATCGATGGATTCCTCTGATTTCAGTTTTTCAAGATCGATTTTTCAAGATCGATTGTTTTAGGGAAGTTCATAACAACAAAAAAATGCATATATTTTTAGGTAAACATTGTTTCTTCGGTGAAGAGAGGGTATGATTGATTGGTGTTTGCCGGAGATTTAATGAAGTCGCCAGAGTTGGGATGAAGGAATCGGAGATGGGAGAATGGTCGAGGGAAGAAGAAGGCTGAAGGGGAAGGAGGGTGGGGCCCATATGTATTTTTTTATTTAAATACAATAATAAATAAATAATTAATTAAAAATTTAATTAATAAAGAAATGGATAAGGGTAAATTAGTCTTTTTAGAACGGACAGGGACTAAGCGTGCAACAAAAATATAAAGTAGGGACGGTCCGAGTTAAAAAAAGTTGTTAGGGACCAACCACGCAGATTACCCTAAACCACAGGGACCATCCGTGTAATTTACCCTATATTTTTTGTGCCAAATTTTATAAAACATTATTTAATATAATATCGTCAATTTCTTGAGAAAATATTTATGATACGTTTTTAATTGATAGTTTATTTCGTACCATTTTTTTATGGTACGCCAATTTCGTGAGAAAATTTTATAAAACATTATTTAATCAATATCGTCAGTTTATCAAATATATACGTTAATTCGTACCATTTTATTTTCACTTTTTATACAATAATACATAAAAGTTGATCTAGATTTGTTTATTATTTATAACAAAGTCATAAAAATATTAAAAAATCACTTCGAAGTTTTAAAAAATAAATTTATTTAGATTTTAGTTTATTTTAGTAGTTTTCAGATGTTAAAAAAACACACAGTCTTTTTTTTTCAGACAGCAGACGTTTGGTCCACCTCTTCTACTGCAGAGGTCTACAGATATGGTCCGCAGATTATAGACATTTTGTCTCAGAAAAAAACAAACGACACCATAGTGTCTTATGTGCTTAGTTCCTGGGTCATATATATATATATATATATATATATATATATATATATATATATATATATATATATATATATATATCATGGTTGCAGAAATCGGGATTAATCGTCGATTAATCGATTGACGTTCTCCAACCGTCGAGGATTAGGGTATTAATCGGAAATTTAGGATTAATCGGGTTTGGCGGGATTAATCGGTCAACAAAAGTCAACAAAAGTAAAAAAAAAAAGTCAAAAAACGACAAAAAAATTTAAAAAAATAAAATAAAAAAATCAACTTTTTTTTTACTCCAAAATTTTCAAATTTTCAAAATTTCAAATATTATACCAAAATGTTCATATTTTCGTATTTTCAAATTTTCAAATTACAAATTTTCTTATTTTCTAATTTTGAAGTACTTGTTTTTCTTAAGATATATTAATATTTGATTAATTTTAATATTTTATTAATAATTTATGGCCCGATTAATCTCCGCCAAGAGCGATTAATCCTTTAACACCAGTCGACCGTATAGCGATTTTTACAACCTTGATATATATATATATATATATATATATATATATATATATATATATATATATAATTTTATTTTAGGTTTTTAATTTTTATATACAAATAATTAATTTTGTAATTAAAAAATCAACCGTTATGTTAATCTATGTACATAAACGGGTTAAATCTGTTGATTTTATTATATTTGTTAACTAGTTGTGAGACTCATGTATTACATGAGTTAATTTAAAATATATATATATATATATATATATATATATATATATATATATATATATATATATATATATATATATATATAAATGTCTAAATATTTAAGAACTTTGAATTTATAAGAAAATAAGAAAAATAATGAAATGTTATTTATCTTTTAAATTTAAACAAATAATTTAAATAAATAAACAAAAAAACTAATGAGCTTTAATTTTAAGAAATTTGAAATTAAAATGTAAGTTTATTAATGACATTGATATTCATTTATTAGTACATTTATTGCAACTATTATATTAAAATATTATGTGGAATTTAAAAAAATAGAAAAACTTATAAAATGATATGTGGAAAAAAAATAATTCAAAATGACCTGAAAATAACATTTTAAAAATTAATTGAGAGTATGAGAGTAGATTTGTATAATTTTAGAGTATGAGAGTAGATTTGTATAATTTTAGAAAATTAGTCTATCTTTCTTTCAAGATATCCGTAATCCGTTCTTATTAACGGGTCACAAGCCCAATTGTCTGCAAGTATGAGCATTGGGCCGCTTCAAAACACCTTCCGGCTTCCCCCTCACTCAGCCCTCAAGCCTACTCTTTCTGAGTTCTGACCTTCTCCTTCTTCTTCATCGTGCACTTCCTTCCTCTTGTAGGTTGTACGTAGCCGCACCAGAACAAGGCTGTGAAAAAAAGTCCGTCCAATTAACTTATAGAGAGTTGGGGCCTTTAACTTTTTTCAAATTCATACTCTTGTGTTTTACGCTTTCACCGTCATATCATCGGCGAAATCCTCAAATCGTTGCAAGTTTCATCTAAGTTCCTCTCTTACATTATTTTGTAAGAACGCCACTAATTTTTCATGTTTTACGCCTTTACCTGTTACTCCTTAAATCGTTGTAAGATGACTATACTGCATATGGTATCTGAAATGCTATGAACCAGCAAATCATCAACTTTTGGTAGAGATTGTGAATTGCAGATGATATGAAATTAATCTCATATTGAACCACCATCACCATCATATTTGTTGAGCAGCACCGCAACACTAATGTTTGTTAAATTAACAATTTTTTCTTGGAATTGATGCTTGTTGAACATTAAGCAGCCATTGTCGGTATCCGCATCTCTTTAGTTTTAAATCATGCAAGGGCGTGTAAACTTCATATGGTTCACACCCATCTTTTGCTTACATAATGTGGTTTCTTCCATTGTTGTCAATGCAGGTTGTCAAGGACTTGCTTATGGTTGCTATTGGTTCAAAAGCTCTGCCACTGAGAATAGCTGAAATTTGTGATTTGATAGCTGAGTGCAGTGTGGCTGGGGAAGATAATACTTACAACCAGGGTGGGAGAAGAAGAAACATGAGCAGGAAGTCAATGAAGAAAACCAAAGGTGTTGATGGGGACAATTCTGGTAAAAATACGTCTGGTGGTAATTACAACTCAAACCATCAAGATCAAGAAGCTTCTGTGCCACATACATCATTTTTAAGGCAACAGGTTGATCCAGAAACAGCAAAATACTTTACAGAGATTTCAAATGTCATTGAAGGAACTGAAATTGATCTTGAAGAACGTTCATCTATATGTGGAAATGCTTTGGAAGAAACAAGAGGAAAAGAAGTAGAACTTGCAACCGATTATATCATAAGTCACACTTTGCAAACACTTCTTCAAGGGTGTGATTTAAACCAACTTTGTACCTTTCTCCAAAACTGTTCAAAAGACTTCCCACGTATTGCCATGGATAGATCTGGATCTCATGTAGCAGAAACAGCTCTCAAGTCATTAGCTTCACATCTTCAAGAAAGTGACACCCAAGATCTTGTTGAAGTGACTTTAAATGATATATGTAGGTCAATTGTTGTCAATCCTGTTGAAGTGATGACCAATTGTCATGGGTCTCATGTTCTTAGAAGTCTGCTATGTCTCTGTAAAGGGGTTCCATTAGATTCATCAGACTTTCATTCCAAGAAATCATCTCAAGTTCTTGCACAACGGTTGAATTTCAAGGCTTCTCGGGTAGATGAAAGTGGGACCCACGGATTGCAGATGGGGTTTCCTGATATGCTAAAGTTTCTTGTATCAGAGATACTTAAAGCAGCTAGAAAAGATATTGAAATCTTGCAAGTTGATCAATATGGCAGCTTGGTTTTGCAAACTGCTTTGAAGTTATTGGCTGGATATGAGGAGGAGTTATTGCATGCCATTCCAATCATTCTTGGATGCAAAGGGAATTTCATAGATAAGAATGTTGTCAAAAGGCTTTTGAGTTTAATGAAAGAAACTGCTTTCAGCCATCTGATGGAGGTTTGATCAACTTCATGTTTTATGTTCTTTTCCCCTTTGCAACTTTTCACTGACATATAAATTTATATTCTTTTTTTATTAGTTTTGAATCTTTTATGTTTGTAAATTGTAATGCAGGCCATCTTGGAAGTTGCTCCTGAAACATTGTACAACGAATTAATAACAACTGTTTTCAAAAATTCATTATTTGAAATGTCCTCTCATCACTGTGGGAATTTTGTTGTTCAAGCATTAATTTCTCATGCTAGAAATGAAGATCATGTAAGTGAGGCAATAGCTTAGAGTATCAAATACATTTTCCTGGTTATAACATTTTATATATTTTTTTCTTATTCAATATTTAATGGCTATCTTTTCTCCTTTTCCAGGTGGAGCTGATGTGGAAAGAACTTGGTACAAGATTTAAAGATCTTTTTGGAATGGGGAAGTTTGGAGTTGTTGCTTCTTTTCTTGCTGCATGTCATAGGCTCAATAGCCATGAACAAAAGGTATAAATATATTATATATAACTCCAGGAAATATCAACATACTTTACATGCTTTATTTATTCATTTTTTTTAAAATGGTTTTGCAGTGTTGTCAAGCTCTGATTGGTTCTGTATGCATGGAAAATGAGCCACCTAGATGCATTGTTCCTCGAATACTATTTCTTGATAATTACTTTTACTGCAAGGATAAATCCAATTGGGATTGGCCAAGTGGTGCTAGAATGCATGTCATTGGGACATTGATTCTTCAATCAGTTTTTAGACTTCCAATTGTACGCCTCTTTTTCCATCTTCATTAAAACTTTCTCCTAATTCACATTTCAATAACATTTGCTAATTCACATATAGGAGTTTATTCATGCCTTTATCTCAAGTATGACATCTTTGGAAGAAGATCATCTTCTTGACACCACAAAGGACAATGGAGGGGCAAGGGTGATTGAAGCTTTTCTCACTTCAAATGCTTCCACAAAACAAAAGCGTAAATTAATCGTCAAGTATGCAACTTTTTATAAAATCCATTATGTAACACATTTGTTTTATTCATGTTTGACTCTATTAACATAAGTCTTTTACTTTGTGCTTTTATGTAGACTTAAAGGGCATTTTGGGGAGCTTGCTGTGCTTCAGTCAGGTGCCTTTACAGTTGACAAATGCTTTGATGTCAGCAATGTGTCTTTGAAAGAAATGATTGTATCAGAAATGGTAGCACTTCAGGGAGAGATCTCAAAGACAAGACAGGGTCCTCATCTTTTAAGGAAACTTGACATTGAGGGGTAATTTCTTTTTTCTTTTTTTCTTTTTTCTTTTTATAACTTTTTCATAGTTTATTTAAAAGTTGATGATGTTTTAATAGGTATGCAAAACGGCCTGATCAATGGAAGGCGAGACAGACTTCAAAAGAAACTGTGTACAATGATTTTATATCTACATTTGGTTCAAAGGAAACAAAATATAATGAATCGTTTACAGAAAATCGACCAAAAACACAGAAAGAGAAGATCAAGGACATGAGGAAAGAGATTGACACTCAGCTAACTCCATTCCTGGCTCATAACAAGAAAAAGTCGGGCCAAAAACGTCAATCAGATGGAACTGAAAGGGGCGATGTGAAATTTACCAAACATGCCACTGAAGATGATGTAGGAAAAAGCAAACGAAAAGCTCATAGAAAAAGAAAGCACACTGAGAAAATGTAGTAAGGTAATAGTAATAGATGACTCTTGTATTCACATTTCTAAACTGTTTGTTACATGTAAGTTTAATATAAAATTTTGCTTGAACTAAAATTACAAAACTCAAAATCATTACTTGTTCCCGATTGGATTTGATCTGCTTGGTGGCATCTTTCGAAAGCTTGATTTCATCTTCTTGAATGGCTCCTTTGTTGTTCTTGTCTGCAAATCTTTGAGAGTATGTGAAGTCGAAGTTTGTGATAGGAATCTTCCTTGAACTCCAGCAAGAATTAGTATGAACATGAATGCAAGAAAGATAAGAAACATTTTTTTGTAATTAGGATTCATGATTAGTTTTGATGTGTGTGTGTGTGTGTATTAATGATTAGAGGCAAAAGGCTCTTTATATGTGGGTGTGGTGTTGTGGATGGGATCTTTGACTGTAGATTTTCAAGATTAGTTGTTACTGTTTCAAAAGGTGTCACGTGATGAGGCATGTGATGGTATTATATATATATATATATATATATATATATATATATATATATATATATATATATATGGGCTGTTGATACAACTGGGAGGTGATTCAGACATTGGTAATGGGTGTTGTGGTGGCTTTGCGGCCTCTATTTGCTCCATTTGTCAAGATGTTTGTTCTCATGTGGTAAGTTAAGTAGGAGTGGGAATTTTATAATTTAAAAAATAGGAATGTGGAGTTGCATTGGTAAATGGGCCTGTTTGATCCCAATGTGTTTTTTTTTCCTAAGTTGTATATTGTTTATAATTTATATACAGTGTCGGCTACAAAAGCGTGAGATGTGATTGTTGAATAAACGGTGTATAAAATTCAAAGGTAAAAAGGTCATCCTCATTTGGTATCAAACACATATGGCATACCACTTAATAAACATACAAATTCAGTGACTTTTTTTTTTCTTTCTAAAAAGGTCCTTGCGTATGTCTTTTAAGATGTTAAATTCAGTGAACTAATACCTATCAACTCATATGGGAGAGTTATTTAATTTGGTTTTGACGTTATAGGGACGTGTTACTTGATACATGCTGTTATGATTAAGGAATTGAATTGAAATTGGTTTGGTTTAAGATTTAAAGAAAATGGTTCAGTTTGGTGTTGGGCGGTTTAAAACTAAAGTTGAAAACAGGGGTTTTCATATCACAATCTTGAAATTGCAATCTCTTTTGGGTTTATGTTTTACAAATTACACCAAAACCTTTTATGGATTCGGTTGATGGTTGGATATGGGATCAAACCAGTGTAGGTAGGTTATTTTTTGTTGCATTATTTTTTGTATATAGGTTTTAGGTTGTTTATCTTATTTTTTGTATTTAGGTTTTAGGTTGTTTAGCTTATTTTTTGTAATCAAGGTTCTAGATAACATTAGACGTAATTTGGCGGTAATGTCAATTCTCAAGTTTTCACATGACGTGGCGAGCCATATCGTTTGTAAGGTGTGACTTAAGGCAATAATTTTGTAAAAAAATGATAGTTTTGTATATATTTTCTACTATTGTTCATTTTTATATACATATATGACTAAAAATGACATTTTGTTAAAGTGTGATATCAAGTACAAGTCTTGAAATCATAACAAACTTTTTAAAACCTTGATTGTAATTTACTATTTTATGAGACTTAAAATAACTTATAAACTATTTGAGATAGCTTATTGACAAACAAACTTTTTGGTTAACAAACCTATGAGTGGGTATTATTTGGTTTGGAACTGAAAAAACATAAAACCATATCAAACCAAAAGAGAATTTGGGTCAAACCAAAACTCAAACTCGGTTCTTGATTTGGTTTCAGACCAAACCAAATTAATGAATTTATTATATGGTTTGTGTTATAATGAACCGATTTGGTTTCAGACCAAACCAAATTAATGAATTTATTATATGGTTTGTGTTATGATGAACCGATTTGGTTTCAAACCAAACCAAATTAATGAATTTATTATATGGTTTGTGTTATGATCTAGTGGAGTCGGACCAAACCAAACCGAATTAACGAATTTGATTATAATTTTTTTATTAGTTAAATATTATATAGAATAAATGAATATATATATATATATATATATATATATATATATATATATATATATATATTTCCTATTTTTTTTCCTATTTTACAGACACGACTTTTTAATTCCAAAATGTCAAAATTTTCATTCTTTAATTCATTCTTTAATTCATTCTTCCCTTGTGTTATGTATCATTTTGAACTTCGTATATATTTGAAACTTTGGATTTTATGTTTGGAAAATTAAAACTTATGAGTTTTAATTTTAACCTAAAATTTGCTCTCTTTGGTTTTCAAACCGAATTGTTCAGTTGTTTGGTTTGAATTGAGTTGTTTTGAATTTGGTTTGGTTCGGTGTTTGGTTTGGACAAAAAAAATTAAACCGAGGAAACCAAACCGAAAAAGAAACCACTAACCGAAGTGAGTTCCACATATATTGCCCCAAACACAACCTTAGTTCGACACCACCGGATGTTAGTACTACTTTTTTCTTATAATTATATTATTTCAAAAGTGAACAAGAGTGTGTATGTTGGAAAATAATAAGGAACTAGCAAGTTGGCTAGGTTTCTTTGTCTCACATAGGTGGAATGAAGAAAGATTTGTGAATTTATAAGGTTTTCCAAGCCTTAAACCTTCAAAGGCTATAACGAAGGTTAATGGATGGATCAAGCTTACAGGCGTGCCTATTTGGGCTGAGGATGCGAGGTTCGTGAAATGAGGTGGTATGTGCACTTATCATTTTGCACGTCGCTTATTTCTCATCTCTCTATCCGCGACACAACTTTCTTCATGTTTCTGAGTATTTGTTTTGTGTTTATCAGTTTTTCCATTGTTGTTCGAACGAACGATAACTACATTAAATATTGGGCTCTACACTACGACTTACAACCATTAGAGCATGTAAAAACCTTGAACGACATGACTAATTTTGTGTAGTTACTAGTCAAGATTTACAATCTTCAGGTTGATTTTAATTTTTTGTCTTGTCTTTTAATTCGGTCCGATAACAAGACAATCTTCTTCTGCCTTTATTAGGATTAGATCCGATTGCGAATGATCTATCTAATTTATAGACGAAACTTGGTAATTAAGTAATAATAATAAGACTTATTATTTGTGACATTTTGACATATAATTCTCAATATATTTGTCGGCTTGTTTCCGTTTGATTTTACTAACGATTCTATATTAGTTCACAATATTAATCACCAGATTGTATGTTTGTCAAGTCTGAAATACAACAATCTTAAAAGTTTTTACGTGATAAAAATTTCAGACAAATGGGAGACTGAGATCCATTCCCACTAATGATTAAAATTTTAGACAAATTTCAGACTGATGAATCATGAATTTGTCAAACTAAACTGCTTCGACGGTCAGAACTATACATGCTGGGCTGATAAGGTCCATGTTTTTGCTTGTTGTGCTAAGCTTGAACTTGTTTTGGACCATGAATTGCCTCATATTCCAAATGATTCCAAATGATCCAGTCCCCAAAGCGGGTAAGGAACCATATCTAAAAGCAGTTTCTAATATGGAAAAGTTGGGGGCTCTGTGCAAAGAGTATAAGGGCTTATGTCTATGATATGTACGATTCATTCACAGATCCTATAAAGCTCTAGAAATCCTTAGAGTTCAAGTACGTGACATATGAGTAAGGTACTAGTAAGTACCTTGTGTTAAAGTACTTAGAGTTTCAAATGATCGACGAAGGACCAATCTTAGAGTAGGTGCATGAGCTCCGACCTTTGTCAACAAGCTGATCGAGCTTTCCATCTCTCCACCGGAGCTCTTCCAGGTGGTGGAGTTATTGTAAAGCTCTCACACTCTTTGAATGACTTCTCTAATAGGATGATATATAAATATGATGCCTACTTGGATTATCTGTTGAATCACTCTAAATTGAGGAGTAAACTCGCAACATGGAAAAACAAGGTAAAGTCGCATGGAGTGTGCACCATTTGTGAGCTGGGGTTCTGGCTAAAAAGGAAAAATGGGTTCAAGAATAAGAAAGACTTCATACCCCAAAAAATGGGAGTTTAAGAAACTCAACTGTCAAACCAAAAAGCGGTATGTCTGCGGTGAGATAGGTCACTATGCTTGGGAGTTCCCCATACACAAAGCAAGTCTTATACACATATCTGCAAACATTGTTGAGGATCTCACATACTTGGTATTGGAAGAGTCAACATGATTTCCTCACTTACACAGATATTGGCGACCCGATGTTGGTTATTAGATTTTGGAGCTACTGTGCATGCATATGGAAGCAAGTCAGACTTCCTGGCTTATGTCCCTATACGGCAATGAAATATGGTGGTATGCGTTAATGGACATAGGGTTAGAATCTTAGACATTGGCACCGTGCAACTAAACTTTATGAATGGTCAGTGAGTTACCCTTTAAGATGTGTTGCATCTTCCTAGGATCTTGAAGGGGCTCGTGTCAGCATAAAAATTTGACAAGAATGAGTACAATATGGTAATCGAGAAGGGTCTTTTGGAGTTCATGAGAAATACCTTTTTTGTTGGCCAAACAATAAACACGCATAGAGTTTATCGGCTTGACCTGAATGGATCATGGATAATCTAGTCATGGTGTTTTCATGTTAAATGTTGATGTTAGTGATAGTAATAGTGACATTATTGGTAGTTATTATGTAACCAATTTTGAAATGAATGATTTTTTTTATTATATTGTTTGTTTAATTTCTTCATGGCACAAACATCTAGCACAAATATTAGAAGTATTAGGAAAATACAAACTAAAGACATGTTAAAACTAAACAATAAAGAATTTGATAAATGTGAAACATATGTAAAAAATATTTTCCAAGTGCTAAGCTCATTCGGATATCTCTAAACTAAATGAAATACTTATATCATCTCTAAACTAAATGAAATACTTATATCATTAATAGAACTAATCCATTCGGATATCTCTGAACTAAATGAAATACTTACACGAAAAAGATAAAAGATATTTGATGACTCTTACATGTTTATCTATTGCAATTATAAGAAGACGAAGACACATTTAAACATGTAAAAAATCAACATGAGAAAGACATAAAACAAAAAAAATAAATCATGTTTTAATCTATTAAAGATTCTAAAATTCATTTTGTATTTTTTTTTATTACTTTATGATTTTGGTTATCCATGTTATCATGGTACATGAAATTCGGCTTTTTACAAACGTATGTTTTGTTGGGCTCTCACCTCTCATCATTTTCCGAAAATGCATACATGAAAATAAAAAAAGAAAAAGAATAACAACAGAAAACGATAGAAAGATATTGAAATTTTAGGTCTTTGTATTTTTGAAAATTAAGAAAATATTTATATTTTATATAAATTGGTAAAAGAAAGAAAATTAGGAAATAGAAAGTAGCGGATTCATTAGCGTTATCTTCCTGCTTCACCGTGGTGTGTGGCTATCGGTGTGTTCGCTCCGCTCCCTTCTTCCGTCTTCCGTCTTAAACCTCAACCCTAGTCCTACTCCTGTATTTCACCTTTCATGGGGTTTACTTACCTTCTTCTAATCTGAGTCCGATTCCTGATTGATGACCTCCTCATGCCTTTATTAGGTACACAAATTCATCGTCTCCAATTTCACATCCTGACAACAATTATACGATTTTATCATTTTGAGATTGTTGTGAATAAGAATGATTTTCATCCTTTGTTTTGCAGATATTGCTACTCCACAATCTTCTTTCAGGAACAACCCCTATTCAATTGGGTTTCAAAGACTTCACCATGTTTCATTCATATCTGGCAATCAAACAACTGCCAGGTCGAGATTTTTCAAGCCAAACGGCATTATCAACCCCGCAAGTGGTCGACTTATGATTAAGGCCGTCGCTACCCTTGAACCTAGATGTTCTGATAATGCAAACCACCAGCTTCCCATTGATTCCACACCAACGCTACCAGGCACTGATGACCAACCTGTGGTTATCGACGACAGGGAGATTTTGAGGCGGAGCCGAATTTCCGATGCTAACAGAGGGAAACAACCTTGGAATAAAGGGCGGAAGCACAGTGCAGGCACTATTTAGCTTAGTTTTACACATTTTACATCTTTTTGCTCTATACCATGCTTCTAACATGCAGATATTCGCAGAAACCCGAGAGAAGATACGTGAGAGTACCAGGATTGCTATGCGTTCTGAGACGGTAATTGTCAAATAAGAGCCACAAAACAATGTTTTTTTGTGGATCTAAGTTCCAGTTATCTACTTGGTTTTCCACAATACAATTTCTACCTTCTGGTTATCTGTCATTAATTGGTACTCTATCTACACTGACAAGTTACAATTGGCGTCCATGCAGGTCAGGATGAAACTGCGTAAGGCAATACATAGTCAAACGTGGGTCTCTTTTCATTCCTATTCTTCATTTCAACTTCTTTTTCTATGCTTTTCTTGTTGATAATTGCTGTGTATCATGGTCCTTACAGTCTTGAAACAAGATCAAAGATTGCAGCTGCGGTCCGAGTTACATGGAATAAAAGGCGTTTTCAGCAGAGGATGATGTCCCATTGCCAACAAGAATGGCGCAACTTAGTTTCAGAAGCTTCTAGAAAGGGGTTTTGTGGTGAAGAAGAGCTCCAATGGGACTCCTATGAAATAATTCAGAAACAACTTACCAAGGAATATCGAGCAGGTGTTGAATCAAGAAAGGAGCATTTAAGAACCAACAGCTTAAAACCAGAAGGACAACGTGGCGTTAGCCACCTTAGAGCACCCAAAACCCCAGAACAAAGAAAGAAAATCTCAGAGGCCATTGCTGCCAAATGGGCTGACCCTGTAAGCTTTCTATTACTTACTTACACATGAATGGTTTATGGAGGAAAGTTTTGTTTTATTCTTTAATTTTTCATTTGGAGTAGACATATCGTGAGAGAGTTTATAGTGGCATATCTAAAAGGCGTGGCTTGGATCCTGAGAATAGAGATCCAGAGTGGGGGACAGGGAAGAGGAGGAAAGAAGCTACAAAGCTCAATCCATCACCAAGGAAGAAGAGGGAAAGCTTTGGTGGGGGTACAAAGGTCAAAAGTCCTCAACAGCCTAAGGTGAAGACAAGTGTCAGTAGGGTTAAAAAGGAACCACAGGCTAGATTTAAAGATCCACAAGCTAATTACAAGTTAGAGATGATAAAGAGTATAAGAGCACAGAGAGCAGGTTCAGATTCAGATTCAGACCCAAAGATTAATGAAGCTGTTTTAAGAGCAAAGTGAGTAATGAGTTCACCTTTTGAAACTTAGTAACCCTTTTGAGGTTTCTTGAAAAAGATTAAGTTTTTGTTTTGTTTTTCAGTGTTTTGATTGGTGAAGCTCAGAGAGCTGCTGAGGCGTTAGAGGAGGCGGCTGCAAAGAGTCCTGTGGCTGAAGCTTCTTTGATTGAAACAAGGAAGTTGATTGCAGAAGCAATTAGATACATCGAGTCTATAGAGATGGGGAATAATCAGTCTCTGGAGTCTGGGAATGATAAGGATGAGAAGATGGTGGTGGAAGATGTGAGGGGAATTGAGCAAAGAGGAGTGAATGGAATTGGAGGTATGGGGTTGAGTGATGGCGGAATTGGAATGTTAGCTGATGTGGCAAATGGGAGGGAGAATATTGATATATTATCATCAGCATCAACATGGGGTGATATGGGGTTGGAGATGAAGGAAGTGGAAGGTGATGGTGATGGTGGGAGGAAGATGATGTCTGAAAAACAAGAAAGAAAAGGTAGAAGATGGGTTTGTGGGAGGCTGGTTGAAGATGAAGAAGATGAGTAGTTAGTTAGTAGTAGTTGTTTGTTACAAGTATAAATGACACTAGAGAAAAAGCATTTCCATGTTTTATCTTTGTAATCTTTGCCTAATTGCCTCTAGTTGTAATGGAGAAAGAACTATTTAATAGAGAAATTCAAGATTTTTTGGTTAAATCTTATTTTTGTTATGGATATGTCTTTATTTATGTTGATAATACTAATGTGTTATTAACTAAGATGATTTAAATGGAAGGTGTCCTATATGGAATGATCTGTTTTTCTATAAGTATCACGAAACTATCTATTTCACAAAGTTTATTTGCAAAATCCATTTGGTGTTTTGTGCAAACTTATTCACAGGTTAATTGATGGGTTTTGAGCATTACAACATTTCTATGGTGCACATGCAACCCTAATTGCTTTGGATCTAAGTTTTTCTTTATTGAACATGCAAATACAAACTCCAAAGCAATAACCCTAAGACTAGCATATACAATTTGGAAATTGACATATAAATTAGGGTTTAGATGTTACCTCTCTTGTTATGTAGCAATAACAAGTTCACCTTGAATATCCTTGACCCTTGAAAGCTTAGTGCCTCAAGTGTTGCACATCTAATGGAGTCACAAACACCCAACACAACAAGGATGAAGAGGAGAGACAAGAAATCGGCCACCTTAGGGTTTCTCAAGCTTAGGTCGAAATTCCTTAGTCTTGGAGGGCTTATATAGGCTGTGTGGGTTGCTAGGGTTTCTGGAGGAAACCCTAATTCCTGCTTAAGGCTTAAGCAGCCCATGGATTTCTTCTTTAGAGCCCTTGGACGAAATTTATAGGGCCTCCCTATAGGATTTCGTCTACTCCACTCTATGGAGTCCATCAGCCCAGTTTTGCAACTATCAATGATTTGCAAAACTAGTCCCTCCATTATTAATCAGTTACTTTAATCCCAAAATTAATACTAGATTAATTTCTGATTAATTACTAATTAATAATATGATTTCCAAATAATATATTAATCTTATAATATTTTAATAAAATCATTCTGAGTACCAATTTATTATTCATATAATAAATCCTACTTTCTCTCCACTTGTCATCCTATCAAGTTGTATGAGTGAAGGCAACCCAAAAGGACCATGCTCATAATCAAATCAAGTACATACCAAATATAGTTATGGGCTTAGACATCTAATCCAACACTAATGACTTATAAAAATGTATATATTTAGTTGTTTATTTTATTATTTTTTTTTACAGTGGGGAACAACTTGGATGACAGTCCATGGCCCAATTGGATTTGGAGCCTCAAGTTATTGTCAATCGTTTACATCATTTATAGGGAGTTCATCATGTTGTGCCATTGAGGGATGGCTAGGGATGTCTTACTAAGCTCTTACCCTATTCTCACTTCCTAGAGAAAGGCTAGACATCCTTCGACTGGTCGGCTGACCCCACATAACTCATCCATGAAACTTTCACCAACTCTGCAACACTCGTGTATGCTAATCATACATAACACTGGATCCTATAGACAGTCGAATACTTGATTCTACCCTAATCCGAAAACCAAACCAGGAACGAGAATTAAGGCAATCAAACATTCTCGGGCTATAAAATCTTAGTTATGTACAATTTTGATGCATACACTAAGCAACTATAGATGTCAATTTCATATAAGGAAGAACCCTAGGCTATCATGCATCATATAATCAGGCAATTCTATCATGCAATTCCTGAAGATCCCTAACCTATTACTAGCATGTTGTTTAAACATATCACAATATCAAATAACAGTGTGGTAACTTGGGGTCCACTTACTGGCTCCGACTGATCGTACACATCACATCTTTTCTTGATTACTTTTGAAACAATTTTGGAAATCATTTTTAAAACCTTTGCAGTTCCTTAGTTTGAGACTGGATTCACACGGGTGTTCCTCCAATTCACTCAAACCAAGGCTCTGATACCAACTTGTAACAACTCAAAAATCACAACAAATTTAAACTTTTGAAAACAACCTATAGTCATAAAATGTTTACAAAATCATTGTTTCCAAATTGTTTATCCATATCAGAGTATCCCAAAATCATAAAGCCATAAACAAAAGATGTTTACGGTTACGCCTTCACCTTCCCGCGATCATCAGAAGTACTTTAAACAACAACTAAAAACCATAAGCCAAAGCTTATTGAGTTCCCCCAAAGTACCACCACATAACACACATATCATAAACAAACAAACATGTTGGGTCCAATCAATAATCGGACTGGGATACCCCCGGGTCCACAGCCGTCAGTATGGATTACCCCTGGCCTAATCAGTCATCAGACTGGAATGCCAATATACATCGGGTCCACTCAGTCATCGGACTGGAATACTCTCAGGCCCTTAATATGAGTCTGGCATGCCAACTGGCCCTTAGCTCGTATCTGGAATGCTCCCGAGACCTCAGTATGAGTCTGGCATGCCAACCGACCCTGAACTCATATCTGGAATGCTCCTGGGTTTGTTGGCTACAACACAAAGCAGTATAACCTCAACCCAACACAATATATCGACATATAACATATAACAAACATAAGCAACAGACAAATAATCATGCAGACAGAAATCATATGTAGTCCTACAGATCTACCGGTCTACGCATATCATCAACTAGCATATAATCATACATATCTTTCCCATACTCAACATATCAATGTATAACAGGATATCAATCCAATGGGTCAGCCTTGGTGCCTTCAACCCGTAAGTACATTGAGGAAAACTCACCTCACAGCCTGACGAAAAATTGATTAATACTCTGATCTTGAATACCGGCTCCACCCAAGTCCTAAATGTCCAAACATTTCCCATTAATAAAATAAAATCAATTTCCTAAATTACCCTTGGTCAAACTTGGTCAGAACTAACAAGTCAACTGAGTCAACCCAGCCGCGTCGACATAGAGCGCGTACGCAGGGCGTACTCCAGAGGTACGCGGGGCGTACTCTGGTTGACCGAGATCGGGGTTGTTGACCGAGTACGCTCGGCGTACGCATAGGTACGCACGGCGTACTCACATAACTCCTCTTTTCACATTAAGAGCTTAATCCTTCGATTTAATGCGTCCAAATGCAGATCCAACGCCAAAATATCACTAAGAGTCATAAAGTTTCCAACTTTATGACTTTGCATGTCCAATAAGTGCTCAACTCAACATCTTAATGCATTAAGACCTTCTAAAGAATGCATGGAGCAAAACCAACCATTAAGACCCCATTTTATGACTTAAGACCATTCCTAAGGTCTGAAAGGACGGCTAAATGGGTCAAAAACATGCCATGCTCAAGAATCACTATTTTGGGACAAAAAGTGACTTAAAAGAGTGAAATGTCTAGATCTACAAGATGGAGTGATCAAGATGCAAACTTTATACCTCTTGGAGGTTGCAAACAAGAAAGGAATCTCAGATCCAAAGTGCTTTCAAGCTCCAAGTTCTTCTCACCACCACCTTATTCTTCTTCAAGAATGCCTCCGAAACACTCTATGGGTTCAAAAACGGACTCTTCTCACTTAGGGTTGCTTGAAGACAATTTTCACAGAGGGAGGCTACTGAGGATATGAAGGATGAAGTTATAATGTTGTTTATATATGGCCAAAACCCTAAAAATTAGGGTTTGGACATCCTGTGCGTACGCCCTGCGTACGAGATGTATGCCTAGCGTACTAGGGTCTGCCCTAGTTTGCTTAGCGTACACATCGTAAGCCTATCGTACAAACCTCCTGTCCAAATTTACCACAATGCTACTATGGGCCAATATTGGAATTTTTTCAACTTTAGAGGGGTCAAAATGCAACATTATTCAAACATATGGTCAAAATTAGAAGTACCTCATCATTGAGATGTTACATCAATAATCTATAAACTATAAATAGCTTTGGTGTATGAATTTGTGGAGATGTATAAGGTTAATAAAAATTATGTTGGAAGATACAAGAAAAATAGGACAAGATTGCTTGGATTCTGAAAAAGATTGCTTGGATTTTGGTCCCAAGAGAGCAACAACCACCCAAGTAACCTAAAGTACCTTGTTTCCTTGAGAAACTTCCTCGCACTGCGTAACTTGTTACCTAGAATGACAATGGAAGAATTATTTTTCCAGTTAACATATAAAAGGAAGGAATTGAGTGTTTAGGGTGGTGTTTCATTTCGTTATATTAGCTTTGAATTGGGTTTGTGCAAGAAAGAAAAATTGGAATTAGGATAAGGTTGCCGAAATTTAATGACATGATGGTTGCCAGAAAAGGTGAAGGATGATGAGGGTGGTGGGAGACGGAGGTTGCCAAAATTACTCTAAATGGGCGATACATGGTGGTGGCGGTGAGAGACCGCATTCATTGGTTTGGAAAATGTGTAATCGAAACCAACAATAAGGACCAGTTTTATTAAAATTAAAAAACTAGGACTAAAACTGTAGAATCGTGCCAACCACAAGGACCATTAGTGTAATTCACTCAAAGTAATTTGGTGATACTTTATAAAAATATGATCATGTGTCATTCTCAAGTGATGATTGGGTGCTGACTGTCATCTTTCAATTGATGAAGGCGGCCAAATGTAAATCCAAAAGGGGGTGGTCGTTGAAATATTCCAGTCACCGCACCGCTATGCACAAAATACCACCAAAAGCGCCGCTCCTTCAACGCGCTGCCCATTTCTATTCATCCCTCGACGCTCCCTGATTTCAGACTCACTGAAACAACCACCACCATTTAACTGCTCATCTCCTTCTTCCTGGCACCCATTTACACCTTCTCCGAACCCATTTACTATAATCACCTCACCCTTAAATAGATACAGTTTCTTCGATTTCACCCTACCATTCTCATAAGTCATAACCCAATTTCTACATTCGGCGTTTAACTGTTTCATGGTCTAGAATACTGAAGGATCAAATATGAGAGCAAGATTATTAGTGTTTCCAATCAAAGGAAGGAATTGGTGCTTTATCAGATCGATTGACCGTTCAACCTCAGAATCCCAATCTTCACAATCTCCGACTACATTCAAACAACTATGGAAAAAAGTTTCTTCGTCATCTCCCAAAGCCACTGCCGCTAATGTTGAGCTCTGTGTTGATTTTGTAGCTAATAAGGTATTTCCATTCTCTTTTTTCCTTCATTCTTAATTTCTTATTTGATCTTCATAGTTTCTTCAACTTTTGTGCACTATGTAGATGAACAAAGCTTGGTCTGGTCTGGAAAAGGCGCCTTCCGGAAGTTTCAAGAACAAGATTCATGGGTATAACAACTGTGATCTTATGTCAATATGTCATGTTAACGTTATCATCTGATACCCGTTCCCTCTCAAAGATTGATTGCGCTTTTTTCTCTTTTTCTTGATTCTGATGTGTAGCGTGGGATTAAGCCTCTTGTCGCGTGTTAAACCGTCTGAGATATTTTTGAAATCCATTCCCAAGCAGTTAACTGGTGTGGAGGTTGTCTTCCCATCAAGGTTTGTTTTGGTGTCTTTATTTTGTCTGTCATTATCTTGTGAATCAAAACTATGAACTTAATATGGTAGATGTCGGATTTGTTTGATACGACCTAAGTATTAAGCCCAAATGCTGATATCAGTGATCTAGGCCCAAGTGTCAATCCAGTTCACGTATAGGACAAATATAATACCCATCTGCCTCTCATTTATTTTCTCTTCTTTTTCCTTTATGTTGAAGTTACCTGAAAACTACAAACAGAAGGCTGAGGCTAATATTAGTCAACATGCTACATTCATTTCTAAGATATGCTTATGGTGTTAAGTATGCAAATCACCAAAATAGTTGGTAATGGGAATGATACTGATAACAATAGTTTCTTTTGTGATGAGAAATTTGAAAGATGACATGTTTGTAAGGGAGAGAAACCATAATTTTATCACTTAGCACTTAGCAGAAGAGGATGTTGAAGTTAATATGGAATTAGATCTCAGGGTTAACAAGTAACATCATAATTCTCCTCTCATTCCACCCTTAGATTTCACTCCTCCTTTTTAATCATCAGAAAAAATAAACATTTATTACGCAAGTTTTTCAACCTTGTAATAGTGCTAATTACTGAATCTCTTTATTTTATATTTTAAAATTGAAGCTTAAATGCAAGGCTTGTTCGTCGAAGATTAAGGCATATTGCAATGAGGTACTCACTCCTGTCTAATTAACATTTTAATTTGTCAAGTTTTTATTTTTTAAAGACTATATTATGAATTATGATGTTGAACTTTCTGATATGCAGGGGGAGTATTGTTCACAAGAATTATTTTTATGGTTCAGTCACACTGCTACCAGTTACCTCTGCTTTTGCAGTATGTATCTGAAAATTTATAATTATTTATAAATGCTCTTTCTGAAACATTAATATCATATAAAATCTTTTTTTTAATTTGTTTAGGTTTTACCTTTGCCAAATGTACCCTTCTTTTGGATATTATTTCGTACCTATTCCCACTGGAGGGCCCTAAAGGTAAGTTAAGCTTCTGAAATTATGTCAATAGTTGATTTTTTTTTATATGTTTTTATGAATTTATATTTTGTGATGAGTTCACTCATATTGTTTGTTTTCAGGGAAGTGAGAAGCTTCTTCAGCTGGTATCAGATTCCTCAAAGATACACCATGAGAATGAATCAGAGGAAAAAACCTCAGATTCCTCTGATCCTCCATTGGTAAATTATATCTCTGAATTGTGTATATATGTTTTTTTAGTTTAATGTTTTATATATTTTTTGGTTTTGATATGAATGTTTATTGTGTATACAGGTAATGGAAGCATCTGAGGAGCTTGAAAGACTTGTTGGAGATGGGGATGATGTCAGCAAGTGCAGATTAAAAGACATCTGCAAGGTCTTTGATTTGGAGACATCGGATGTGCTTAAATACCATCAACAAAAAAACTATTAGGAAAAAAGGAAATTCATGCAAAATTTTGATTTGTTCAACAATGTATTGAAATAGACATGGATTTTAATCTGGTCTATATTGTTTTGTTTGTGACATTCCAAGGATTATAAACAGTTCTCATTATTTGAAAACTAACAAATTAAATTACGTTTTCATTAAGTTTTGTGTATTATTAGGTTATTTTACAGAAAATTTGATGGATAATGGTTACTTTTAATTTGTTGAAGTATGTTTTGTTGAAATATTTATTTTTGCATTGATTTTTGTAGGCATAAAATTATTTGAACAACGAAACTGCATCAAAGTTGACCCATTTGGTTTGGTTCAATAAACTATATATTTCGAATGTTCGTGAAACATTTTATTTAATCGTTAAAGGCTTCCAATAATAATTTACTTATTTTACATCACCATTACAAATAAATTGTTTGCAAGTCTACTTAGTAGAAGTTATCTCATCAACAAACTGCTTCCATGCCTCATAAAATTGCAAGTTTGATTTATAAGGCCAAATTCTATAAGACCAATGTTGTTGGATTTATTTATTTATTTTTTGGTTTAAACATCGATTTTTTTCTTTTTAAATTTATTTATTTAACTAAGATCCATGTTTTCTCTTTAATTTTAAACCACCGTAAGTGTTTTTTGGTAACCAATAGCAGAAACAATATGAAAAATGTTGGAGTTGCTTTTGAAATAAATTTTTTTAATTATAGTGATTAAACCATACATAAAAAAATCGACTTATTAAACCGAACAAATTTAAAGCTATAATATTTTTATAATATTCAAAGTGGGTTTTACAAAAATATCCAAATTCGAATGGTTAAGCCAGAATAATTTTTTTTGGTGGTTAAAAAAAAATCAAACTACCGTCTACAATAGTTTTTTTTAGACTAAACTGCACAAATGGTCCCTATGGTTTGTTCAAAATTGCCATTTTGGTTCAAAAAAATTTGGACTGGCAACAGAGGTCCAAACTTTTCATTTTGTTGTGTGTTTGGTCCATTTTGGTTTGAACTTTTTTTAAAGACGATTTTTCCCATTGTTATTTAATTTTTCATTTTTCTTTTATTACAACAATTAAAAAAATAAAAAATAAAACAAAAATAAAATCTCTCTCTCTCTCTCTCTCTCTCTCTCTCTCTCCCTCTCCCCTAAAATCTTCAACCCCATCTTCTTCCATTTTCATATAAACGTCGACACACCGTCATTTGTCGGAAGATATGAACACTGATACACACACCGTCAGTCGCCGTCGTCACCACTGTTAGCCAGCCACTGTTGTGTCTATCACCACCACTTTCCCAGTCGATCTCTCTTTCTCTCTTATCTCCCGGATTTGTTTCATCTTTTACACACAATCATCAGTCAAAAATACAACCACCAACACTGGCCAACACAACAACCACCACCAGTCAATGGCACCACCAGTCAACACCTGCATTTGTAAAACAACGTCACCGTCATAGATCCGACAGTAACGCCATTTTTCTTCTTCTTCTTCTTCTTCTCTCTTTCTCTCTCTCATAGATCTGAGTTGGAGCACCATCTCTCTTACATATCTGATAATGGGGAGGTGGTAAGACGAATCAGAAGATCAAAGACAAAGCAGAAGATTGAAGGTTTGTCATCTGCACAAATCTAAGTTGGAGTGTCTTCTTCACCGCCGACGCCATTGCTAGGGTCTATACCTTCTTCCTTCATACAGTGGTAAGCTCCATCGTACAGTGGTAAGCCCCATTTCCTCTCACTGGCAGATCGATTTCGAATAACAATAGGTATGTGTGATTTAATCAACGACGCAAAAAAAAACCCTCATGTGCGTGGGTTTGTTCGACCGGCACACAAAAACCCCATCTCTTCATCTCCGATTCCCTGTAATCTTCTCATTAAGACCCGAAACCTAAAATTAAAGGGGAAAGGGGGTGATTTTTGGAAGTCTTTTAGTCTAAACCAACAGAAATCACGCATAGGGGTTGCAAAAAGTAAAGCATACATGTGGATGATGAACTCGTGATGAATCGATGCATGGAGGGGTGGAATTCAGAACATATTATGATGATTATTTTCTTCAAATGAGTGATTTTTTTTGTTAAGATGAAAGAAAAGAGGAATTGTGCTATTACGAGAGAGAGAGAGAGAGAGAGAGAGAGAGAGAGAGAGAGAGAGAGAGAGAGAGAGAGAGAGAGAGATTACATATTTTATTTATTTATTTTTATTTCTTTATAAAAAAAATTATAAAAATAAGAAAGGCAATTTTTTTTATTTTTCTTATAAATAGAAAAACATTTAAATAAATAAAAAATTAAAAAAGATAAAAATAAGGTCAAAATCGTCATTATGAAAAAGTTAAAAGCAAATTGGACTAAACTCGCAACAAAATGAAAACTTTGGACCTGTGGTGTTAGTCCAAACTTTTTTGAACCAAAGTGACAATTTTGAGCAAACCACATGGACTATCTGTGCAGTTTAGTTTTTTTTACTGGTTTTCAACTTTTCATGGAGTTTGGGCTTATATAATTTTAAAAAGTATATTTGACTTTTCTAAAATATAAAAAATATTCTCCTAAACAAACAAAAAAAGAAGTTTGTAAAAGAAAATTTATATTATATTTCAACGTTGTAAGATATGCCCTAGAACCCCCTCTATTTCTCTTTTATTTGCTTCTCAAGAAACCGCTTGGTCTCGGAGATTTCCTTCCTCTCCGGCGAGAAGAAAAAGAAAAGATGCCGACTGACATTGAAGACGAGATCAAGGACGAGAAGAATCCCCGCCCTCTCGATGAAGACGATATAGCTCTCCTCAAGACTTATGTAAGAAATATGTTTTTTTTTAGCAAAAGCCCTAATAATTCTTTCTTCGCCTAACGGGACATTTTCTTTTCTGCGTCCTTCAATTTTCTTGCTAAATAGTCATCATTTATCGTATGCAAAATTACATCCTTGACGAAATGCTGCGGCTATGAAATTAGAGCTTAGTAGTTTCTTCCTTGGTGTAGTGGTGAAGCAAATTGATTCTTCTGTTTTCAACTTTATTATAATGATATTCTATGTGGATCAATGGAAAGAGTTACCGAATTTAAGATTTAATCATTGTTACTCACATCTTGAAAATAAATTATGGATTGGTTCTTTGGTTAGCTGCTGCAATCTGATATTACTTCTGCAATTTTTAAGAAAAAAAGAACATGCATCTATTTTATAGTACCAAGGTGGACTTATTCATGTTAGCTACTTATTGTGGACATATCCTCTTTCCAGGCAGCACTTGCTCATAACGTTTAACAATTCCCTAAAGAAGGCTTTTGCAACTAGTTTTCTGCATCTATGCCTTTTTTTTGAAGCCATGAAGGCTGAGACAAATGTTGTTGTTCATTATAGATTTATAGCATAAATTTTGATAGATATTGTCTGTTTTTATTAAAATGTCGACAGAATTCCTTCTCCACAAAAAACTAACATCAGGAAATTCATGTAGGGATTGGGACCTTATTCCAACAGCATCAAGAAAGCTGAAAAGGATGTAAAGGAAATGGCCAAAAGGATCAATGATTTATGTGGTATGTCTTTTGTGATAACTTTCCTTAGATGTGCTCCATTTCATAATGTAGATGATACTTCACATATGTTAATGACTTTCTTCAAAGATGATGTCCATTTTGTTCCTAAACTGTAGTTTTCCCCATCAACTATGATAGGTATCAAGGAGTCTGACACTGGTTTAGCCACACCTAGCCAATGGGATCTTGTTTCTGATAAACAAATGATGCAAGAGGAGCAACCTCTTCAGGTTCAAATTCATGATAACTATCAAGAAAAGTTCCCTCCTTTATCTTTTTTTTTTTTCCTCTTTTATTCCTCATCAAGAACTCTGTCTCGTTGTTGCAAGCAGGTGGCTAGATGCACAAAGATAATCAATCCAAACACAGAAGATGCAAAATACGTTATAAATGTGAAGCAAATCGCCAAGGTACACATATCCCACATTCCTAATTTTTCAACTCTATCCATATCATGAATTCATCTGATTCATATATATGTTCCTTTCTATAAATTCTCAGTTTGTTGTCGGGTTAGGTGACAAAGTTTCACCCACTGATATTGAAGAAGGCATGCGTGTTGGGTAAGCTATATTATCTCTCCACCATTTTAAGAGTTTCCCAAATCCATAAATTCATTTTTATTTTTCTTTTTAAATTGCAGCGTTGATCGCAATAAATATCAGATTCAGATTCCATTACCTCCCAAGATTGATCCAAGTGTGACCATGATGACAGTGGAAGAAAAGCCAGATGTCACATATAACGATGTTGGTGGATGCAAAGAACAAATTGAAAAGATGAGAGAGGTTTGTTTTTATAATCAAAACAATACATAATTTGTTTTTATAATAATTATTGTTTTCCATGATGAATGTATTATAGGTGGTTGAGCTACCAATGCTCCACCCTGAGAAATTTGTCCAGCTTGGAATCGACCCTCCAAAAGGTGTCCTCTGTTATGGTCCACCTGGCACTGGTAAAACCCTTTTAGCAAGAGCAGTTGCCAATCGAACTGATGCGTGTTTCATACGTGTCATTGGAAGTGAACTTGTTCAAAAGTATGTTGGTGAAGGGGCCCGCATGGTTCGTGAGCTCTTTCAAATGGCACGTTCAAAAAAAGCATGCATTGTTTTCTTTGATGAAGTTGATGCAATTGGTGGGGCCCGGTTTGATGATGGTGCTGGTGGTGATAATGAGGTTCAAAGAACCATGCTTGAAATTGTCAACCAACTTGATGGATTTGATGCACGTGGTAACATCAAAGTTCTAATGGCCACAAATAGGTATGTTTTTGATACTTGAGTCACTTTTTATATGACATGGGACCCATTGTGATTTGAATTTGGTGATGATTGCAGACCAGATACATTGGATCCTGCATTGTTAAGACCTGGAAGATTGGATAGGAAAGTGGAATTTGGACTTCCGGATATGGAAAGTAGGACACAGATATTCAAGATTCATACACGGACAATGAACTGTGAAAGAGATGTTCGGTTTGAACTTTTGGCTCGCCTTTGTCCGAATTCTACTGGTATGGACTATGGAATCAATCATTCCATTCCTTTTTTCTGATTCCGTTGTTAGATTTTGGAAGGTGAGATGAATGAATGTGTGTATGAACGTGCAGGTGCGGATATCAGGAGTGTGTGTACAGAGGCTGGAATGTATGCGATTAGAGCAAGGAGGAAGACAGTGACAGAGAAGGATTTTCTTGATGCAGTGAATAAGGTGATTAAAGGGTATCAGAAGTTTAGTGCTACTCCTAAATACATGGTTTATAATTGATTTCGATTTCACTAGGCTTGTTTTATCCTTTAAGACCTTATTTTCAGGCTAAAACCTACTTCTTCTTTTTGTATTTCCTTTGAAACCCATTTAGTTCTTATTTGCAGTTTCAATTCATAACGCTTCTCTAATAAACATCGCATGTTTTTTTTTTTTTTACTTTCTTTGTAAGTTTAGACAAAAGGGTAAAATGGTCATTTTATCATTTGGTGGAAAAAAACCAGTCTTTGTTTATACAACACATACTTCAGACAAGGTGCACTTCCAAAACACGAGTACATTTGTATCAACATGCATAAAACATACACTCAATAAATAACATGAGTATATACAATTTGTATCAACATGCATAAAACATACACACAAAATAAATAACATGAGTAGTAGTCGGGTATTTACAACAAAATATACTAATACAATATAATATCTTTTAAGAATTTTGTGCCTCTTGTAAAGTGTTTCCCTTCCTTTTATCAAACATATTATGCATCTATAGATAGTGTTAAGCGTGTAGCAACATGCCCCACTTCTCCTAACTATACATGACTGTTTATCTCCGCAACTTTCATCAACTATTTGATGGTAAATGACCTGTCGTTTTCGTCTTCTTTTGTTCCAATATCATTAAACATTAGGTATGGATTAAATCATTCAATTCAATATTGGTTTCTTTAAATTAAATATTGGTTTCTTGATATGTGAATATGAATAAGATTATGAGACTTAATTGAACATTATGTCAATATCATATGAGTGTGGCCACAATAGGGATGAACAAACCGGTTTTTTTTCCAAACCGAACCGGTTCAGTAAACCGGTTTGGTTCCGATTCGTGAATAGTAAAACCGGTTCAGGCATAAACTGGTTCGGTTCAAACCGGTTCCGTCTTAGAAAAACTCGAACCTATCTAAACCGGTTCAATCGGTTCTAAACCGGTTCGATCGGTTTGACTACCGGTTCTAAACCGGTTCACGGTTGTTAAACCGGTTCTAAACCGGTTTCAATGTCTAAAATCTCGAACGGGTGCAAACCGGCGGTTCGGTTCTTGAATCGGTTCGGTTCCTAGTGGACCGATTCATAGTGAACCGGTTTTCCGGTTCAGTGACCGGTTCGGATCCTGAACCGGTTTTTTTGTGCAAGCCTAGGCCACATGGCCACACTCAAATATACTCGATTCATCAAAGTGGCCGGTGAACTAATATCACACACCAATGATTAGGAAAAATCTCATCTTGACTATTTGCCTTCATCAACAAGTTTCACATCATATCTAATACTAACCTTAATAAGTGCCTTGTTCCCAATGACATTTAGTTATGTCAAATGTTATGCTTTCTCAAAATATGTTAATAAAACAATCACATGAATTTATGCTCCATATGCTGTAATGCAATATAACAATATCACAATATATCAGTGTTGTAAAAATACCGACTAGCTCCCAATTAATCTCCAGGCGCTACTCGACCGACTAGAGGGCGCCTAACGATTAATCCCTTCATACACAATGAGGGAAGCAGTAGAAAATGATGAAATTTTAACACTTTGAAGAAGTTATATCTCAATAGAAACTATATTTGAGGTATGATTAGTGTTCTATTAATCAAATTAACCTTTTTTGTTATGATATTAGTGGTATTCACGAACTTTGATATGATATTAGTCATATTTAATTTTTTAAAATTCAACAAATTAGTAATTAATGGTCTCCGATTAATCCTTCGATTAATTTCCGCCTAGCCGATTAATCCCTTAACCCCAGTCCACCGACTAGCTAACGTTGAACGGTTTTTACAAACTTGCAATATATAAATCACAAACAAAAATGAGCTCAAATTCGATAACATTTTCCATAATATTTTTAGATACATGTCGTTTTCATAAAAAAGTGAACTTGGCTTACAATAAAATTAGCCAAAACTGTTACATTCCTGCATCCTTAGCTTAGATACAATCCAAAAGCCCAAGGAATATATCAATCCATACTAACATCAACGTACGCTCCAAATAGTGTAATTTCCATATCTAAGTATAGTTTTGACTCGACCGCTAATCCTAATAATATATACTTAACTTTAATCAATTATATGTTTCTAAGCCTAAATATACAAAGTACACTGCATATGAGATATAAAAAGCAAGTATACACATAACTATCATGTCAAATAATTACTATCACCCAAAATATAGTTTCGGGTCATAAAATTTCTCTATAAGCAAGAATAAACATTGGTATCGATGTTTTTTTTCTTCATATCCATCAGAAGAATTAATTTACATCCAAATTTCCATGACAATTCATCATATTATCCCAAAAGTGCTTCAACAACCGTAAAACCAACCTTAATTTTTCGAGTTTCCAACTTTTTCTCATATATGCATTATACTTTTCATAAAGACCAACTCATATCCCAATCCATTAAATTCACAAATAAGTTTAGAGTATTGCATAACATAAATACATTAATGAATTAAACCCACTTCTATTCATGGATTCGACTAAGATTCATAAGGTCATAAAGTTAGGATTTTACCAAATAATTTCATATACTAAAATTTGAGTTTCTAATCACAAACTAACATATAATCCATGCCCAAACATGAAATTAACCAAATAATTTGAGATTTTGGCTCAAAGTTAACAAATTCAAAGGCAACACAATCTATACTTCTAAATACGATGATTTGAATCGAATGATATATTTGTAATTCTGAAAGCATGTATAATCATAATCCCAAATAATATATAGCATGCATTTAAAAATTTACACAATCCAAATTCATCCAAGCTTACTCAAATTTAAGGTTATGGAGTGACATGGAAGAGTATAATGATGTTTGGTGTTCTCTATCCATCTTAAAGATAATCTCACTCCATAGCATGTAGATGATAGCCATTATCTAGCCATCTCAAAGATAATATCACTCAAGAGTATTGAAATGGTTTTTATTTCTCTAGCTATTATGCTTACTCGAGAGCATTTAAATGTTTGGCATTTTTACACATTCCAACAATAATCTCACTCAACAACATCGAAATATCTGGTAATTCTTTGTCCATTTCAAAGTTAATCTCACCTAAAAGCATTACTCACTCATGAGCATTGGAATATTGATTTGTTGGATGGCCATACTGATAAGCACATTGATATGTTGAAGTACAATTTCATTACAACCAAATATAATTCTAAATCATTCTTCCGATCAATCTCTCTAAATCACTTATACAACCTTTCCAAATGTCACTTAAATTCTTATTTAAAATGAGCATCTTTATAACGTATTTGTTAATTTAGTCATGTATGCAATTAAGGTAACATACTTTATGAAACTATTGGGCATTTGTGATCATTATTTCATCTAAGGTTATCATCCTTACATGTATTACACACATGTATAAAAGTAAGAATCTCATTCCAAATCATCTCATGAAACATTAATCAACTTGATATGCATATTTTAATAGTTTCTCAACAATGAATTATACTCTCAACATCATTATAACACAATAAAATCCCTAATTTTCTTTTCTCAAACGACATAATAGTCTTATAGTTAACTTATAATATTTAAATGAATACGCTAATATCTTCATAAGAATTTAGATGTTACATTATTCCTCCTAATGCCTTTGGTTTTAATAGACTCATTCCTATCTAATTTTGACACTTTCGAGTTAGTAGTTCCAAGTCCTTTGTATCTCAGTCTAGAAGACCAAATTGAACCTCTTGTTTAGACTTCATAACCTATCTATAAGACAACTTTCCAATCCATATATCATGGTCATACAACATGTTATTTGAACGTATAAGCTTTGATTGAGTAAGATTAATGCACTCTCATCTTCATGATATCTATTACTAGATTTCATTATTATCTCATCATGAATTCAATTTTTATAAGGAAACCATTCTATGTCATTATGTATCAATGTTATGAAAGAATAACTACACTTGTTACATAATTCTAATTATTGGGATCTTATGCCACTTCTTGCAAGGAATTCCCTTATTGTTCCTCAATAGGTAAACAAGGTGAAAATTCACCCTAATAGTACATTTGACAGATAGAATATACATTTTTGTTTCAAATATGTATTTGATTACTTGCAATTGTTGTAACTTATAGTTGATATATGTATCAAAATATATGTAAGATAAATGCATTCTAATCTTCATGATTTCTGTTCTTACATCACATTATTATCTCATTATGAATTCACTTCCTATAAGGAAGCCTTTCTAAGTCATTATGTATCAATGTTATGAAAGAATAACTACACTTGTTACAGAATTCTCAAGCTTGGGATGTAACACTCGTTTTCTAGAAGTATCAGGTAAAGACTTATAGAGATCAAAAATAGGGTTCTGGAGAAAAACCCTTTGTCACGACGTGGTGCATGGATGCCGACGATGTGGCATAAGTTATATAAAACATGTGTCTCTGGTGAGATCCACGACGTGGCATGAGGGTGGCCACGACGTGACAATTGTTACAGCCCAAGCCCATGATTTTAGGATTTCCCCCATATTTAAAGGCTCCAACTCTTGGTTTAGGGCATTTATTGTTCTTGGATTTTGGTAAAACTTGAAGAGGAAGGAAGTTCATATTTGTGCAAGGAAGCAAAGGGCTAGCTTGGATCCATCATCTCCTTCATATTTCTGAGTTATTATAGGTATAAAGTTCATACCTTGACCTTTTTTCTTCTTATTTGAAGTTTGAGTCCATTTTGGATGATTTTGGTCCCTTCCATGGATGCTCTTGGAGTTTGAGGAACTCCAAAGCTTATTATGACTCTCTTTGGTCATTAGGTTCTGTTGAGTGAGAAAAAGGCCCTAGTTTGGATGTTCTTGGTCCCATTCTTAAGATTTAGCCTTGTAAGAGAGTATGTGGACATATGGTTGTAGATCTTGCCTTAGGGTGAAGTCGATAAAGTTGGAAACTTTATCCATTAAGTTAAAGAGAAGGAGTAGATTTGAACTTTTGAGCCATGATCTGTAAGGATTATGCTCTTAATGAAGGATTAAAGGATCTGCCAGTGACTACGACGTGGCCAAGGAATGACCACAACGTGGTGGAGTCCAGTTTCACGACTGTTTTGTCTTGTCATGCCCACGATGTGGCCAAGAGGTCTCCTGTAAC